AATGATTTGCAAATGAAAACTGAAAATCCTTTGGTAACTGCTTTTATTAAAAAAGAAAAGAAAATTGAAACACCAAATTTTGAAAACTCAAAAAAGTGTTTTACTTTTTGGTTTTTCAGTTTTCATTTTTATGAAATTTGAAGGTAGTTACCAAATGAGTTTTCATAAAAAGTGAAAACAAAAACTGAAATTATCAAACGGCCCCTAAATTTTCATGATTAAGGGTGTGATATTCACATACCCCTTTTTACTTCTCACACACTCTTCTAATTTTCGGGTGTCCAATTGGATTAATTGAAGGAAATCAAATGATATAAATTAACCAAGGGTGTGTGGATAGCACACACTCTATAGTTATTGCAAGATTGTTTAAGAAAATCATGGTGGATATAATTCAATTAGGTTTGTTGAATCGCTAATTAAAGTACAAGTATTTTTTTTTAACAAATGATATTATCTACATTAAGGGGGAGGGAGTGAACTTAGCCTCACAATAGGCTATCAATAGTGTGGTTCAAATTCGTCTTTGGCGAGAATCGAACCTAAAACCTCTCACTTACAAGTGAAGAGGAATATTATTAGATCATAGTATTAAGTAGCAATTAAAGTACCAATATTAGCTGGTGCAAAAACAACCGTAACGAGCATTAACAAGAACTATATTATAGTCATATTTAGGGCAAAAACAAATAATAACTTAGAAGCAACAGCAACCATAGTAATGAGCCCACATGGCAAATGAAAATTGCTCCCTTGGCCATAAGTTGACAATAGATTTCTTTTTAGAACTTTGATAGTACGAGAGAATTTTATGAATATGAAAAAAAAATTACATTTAGTTAGGGAACATAGACCTTACCCTTTATAAAGCAAGAAAAACAAAATACTGGAAAAGATGGCAGACATAAACCTTATTCCTCTTGAAAACGCCGGATTCACAACTTCAAATTTTTGCCGGATTCACAAGTCAACACCAAATCTAGAACTCTGGATTCAACTCCACACATGCCAAACAACCTCTTGAGTTCCGATCTTCGAAAATATTTTGGTTAGTTTTGATGAACGTACCAATGTATATATATACCTAATATATTTGATAGTATAATTTATCTTTAATATTTTTTTAATCCCATAAATTATGGGTTTTATATAAAATCTCATTAATATAAATAACGACAAATTTTATTTTTAATTTAAAAATATTATAACCTACATAGAAATACATTATTACAAAGATTTTAGTCAAATAATATTGGTATTTAGGGACCCAATCCAAAGTCTCCCTTTATTATTTCAAAGGTATATTGTTACCTATTTTAATCTATTTATTCAATCAAAATTTTTTAGTATTTTCTTTTTTTGTTGTAATCGTTTTTAATTTATATGCCATATAATATGGGATTTTAAATCCCATAATATGTCAAGTAATTAATATCAAACATATGAAAATACATATTAATAGCAATAATGAGGTGTACAAAGTCAAGGGACATTGATAAAAAATTGAATACTATTAAGGATTTAGTCAAATAATGTTAGTTACTAGGGACCGGATCCAAAGTCTCCTATTTTTTTAACCTTGCATTCTTTAAATTCGCCTCTTTCCTCGTCAATTCTTGGCTTCGCCGTTGATTGAGGAGGGTATTGGCATACATATGTTTCCTTGATAAGTAACACATTTCTATCTTCAAGTTGGACAAATTGTATTTTTCCTTCCTTTCAACATACATGCCTCAAATATAATGAGTAATCCATTTCATTAATCCAATTCTAGAAATAAAACAAAACTCAAGTACTTTCATTAATTAAGTTTCCACGTTATCATTTTTCCATGATTAAGGTCAGATATAATTATAAAGGCTGCTGCCTCCATTTGAAATAAACTTTTCGACGTTGTCTGCAGGGTGGTGGAAGCAGAACTATGACCTAATTTTTTCTTGGTCTCAGATGGCCTGATCAAAGTCTCCTGTATATGTTTTGGTGCTTTTTGTGTGACGTAAACTTTCATGTAAACACACTTTGTGTCGTGTGTGTATGGCATTGAATTTTTTTTTTTTTTTTTTTTTTTTTGTCATTTATGGCATTGAAATTGATAGAGCTGGGAATGTAGGAAGGAAATCATTGGGTGTTGTGTGGCTACAGGCTACAGCAGCTTTGTGTCGTGTGGCTACAGCAGCTTTATGTGGCATGATACATGTCTAACTATTGTGTGCTTTGCAGTTTAAGACGGAAAGTAAGAGGAATTCTCTCACGACAACGCAAGGTTTCGCCCAAAATACCAATTTTTTGAACATAGAAAGTTGTTAACTGTGACAATACAACCGTTACGTTTCGTTTTGGTTTCTATCCTTTTAAAGTCTTATTTGGTGTGATATCCAAAATATTCAAATTTAAGAGATTACTTTAGCATGGGTAGAAAAATATCACTAGATTATATTATTAAATAACATCATAATGATTAATAGACCAAAATAAAGCGCAATTGAAACTCACTAGCACGACTAATTTCAAACACAATTTATCAAACACTCAATTATTTTACTTCACAGAACGATAGTATCTACAATAAGGGAGTGGGGTGTGGACTAAGTCTTACAATGTGCTTGCCATAATAATGTGGTTCAACTTCTCCTTTGGTGAGCATCAAACCTAAGACCTCATACTTACAAGTAAAAAGAATACCAATAGACCATAATACTAAGTAACAATTACTTTTTAAATATACAATAATATCAAACTGTAATTTAATATTACGGTCTAATGGTATTTCTCTTCATTTGTAAGTGACAGCTCTTAGGTTCGATTCTTGCCAAAAGCGAATTTGAACCATATTATTGTTAGAAGATTGTGAGGTTTAACCCACTTTCCCATCTCCTTCGTGTAGATAATATCATTTGTTATATATATATATATATATATATATATATATATATATATATATATATATATATATATATATATATATATATATATATATATATATATATATATATATAACTGGCCTTAAGTCCCATCCAATTGGCGAATAGCACAGTGGCTAATACAAGGTTGGGCAGACACTGTAGATCTTCAAGTTCGTGAGTTTTATCTAAAACAAAAAAACAAAAATAGCTGAATATGCAATGTAAAGCCCATTTATAGATGTCGAAGTGATTTTAGCGTCAGGTTGGAGGAGGCCCAAATTCTATTTCTGGTTAATATTGTTTGCGACATAAGTTTTTGAATACTTTTCCAAGTTTACCTTCAAACATGACCATACTTGAAAGACTATTCAACTAATTGTGGACAGTTGGCCGCACCAAAATGCTGACGGGGCCAGCGAGACTTTTTCAATATTTGCAAGCGAAGTTAAGAAGGTTCTAAGTTTGGGGAAGAGATCCCTTTCGGATCTTTTCCACTAAAGCCTACTAATCAATTAATCCGAACTTTTAAAATTTGATCCAACGGTTAAAATTATTATAACATTTAAAAAGGCTCCCTATTTGTAATTATTTGATTAAATTTCAAAGATCCAGATTAATTGATTGGTGGGCTTTGGTGTGAGATATCCGGAGGGGATCTCTTCCCCTAAGTTTGGATTACTTATTTCATCAAAACCAATAAATAAATCAATTTTAATCTAACAAGAAAACAATACTTGCAATGTCTCACTGTAATTTTTATATTTTATTTGTTAGAAATGAGTGGTCTCACGTCCAGAAAATGAGTGTAGCAAAAATGAGAATGCTTTGTTGGATGTGTGAGTACACGAAAAAAGACAGAATTAAGAACGAGAATATTCAAGGTAAAGTAGGAGTTGCGGCAATTAAAGAGGAAATCGGTTAACGTGGTTTGGATATATGAACGGAAGATTTACAGATTTTCCGGTTAGAAAATGCGATTATGAGACAAAGCTCAAGTAAAAAGGTAGAGGAAGACTTGGAAAGAGACTCTAAATAAAACATGGATAACATAGAGCTAACGAAAGACTTAGTGCAAAACTAAGCACAATGATGTTCTAAGATTGCCGACCCACATATTGAAATAAGACTTTATTGTTGATGCATATGTTAGAAAAAAAATTCAAAGATGGATGCCCCCGAAAACAAGAAAATAGTGTCCTCTGGGATAAAAGGAAAAGAAAGAAACAATGAACAGTTTAGTAATGCTAAGAACAAGAAAATAATAGTTGATGGGCATCTTTTCTATTGGCTTCTATAGATTTGTTTTCTTGCTTTGTACCGTTTGCATAGTGCGTATAGATGACAGAACCAATGTAGAAATGAAAAACATTTTGGTTAAGGTTTATGCACGGATTTGGATCCTCTCCTAAGCTCAGAGGCTACTAATGCTATTTTTATATTTTCGAAGAGTATATTCTGAGAATTGCATAATTTGACCCATCGTAAATATTGTCCCATCAAACATACGAATTGTTAAGGTTACCAATATACTTTGCCTCCATTGTTCCCACCCCGTCTCCTCCATCGACCCAACCCCGTCGAAGATCGGTGTATCCAAGTATTGTCCTTAATTAAACTTTTTCTAGCCAATCAAAGACTAGTTTGTAATTAAGTAGAAATAATTTTCCACTAATTAAATAAGGAATTGTTATTAGCATTTCAAAAATCTCATTTTACACTACTCATAAGTGTATTTTTATTTTTAATTATAGAAAGTTTGAAGTGCAAAATGAAATTTTTAGAGTGCCAATAACAATTCTCAATAAATAATTTGTAGAAATAGAATTTCACATGACTCATATTGTGTTTTATCGGTAGCAACACACTCCTTAAAACGTATTATTAGTCAATTTAGTTACATATAATAGTCAATATGATTCTTGAATTAGCAAACAACGATTCCAACGAAACTAAGGTATATATTGTGATTTTCTACATAAATCTAAAAGACTAAATCCAATAGAATTTTTTGACCGAAAACAAAAGCCAATAGAATTTTCGACAGCCTGAAAACAACCATAATCCCTATAATATATAAATGCCACAAAAGAAAAAGAAAATGAGATCATCCATATATACACTTTGAGGTTTACGTGGCCTTCAAGCTGTAGCATTTACAAGATACAACAACGATTTCATTAGGTCATTTCATAGTCTGTGTTTAGAGTTACAGCTTACGTTTCTTCTGTTTTGGCGGTTTGAGTTGTAGAGTTTATTCGAAACGCTTCTGATCAGCATATTCTCTTCTTAGAAATCTATCGCTGACATTGTTGTTTGCTGGGAATGTGGCTTCTCTGAGTTTTTTAGGGAGGTTTTAGAAGATGGGATTTGTGAGCAGTTTATTGGGAATTCTTGGTTTTGGAATCGGAATTTCTCTTGGACTCTTGGTGGGGTTTTTCCTTTTTGTTTATTCAAAGCCCGAAGAAGTTGAGGTAAGTCTATTTTCTTATTGTTCTTTGTTTGATCATTTATTTATTTGATAAGATTTATACTTGTTGAATTATTTACCCGTCTTGCATAATTTACTTTCTTTTCAAATTGATTTTTATCTGGTTTCCGGTCAGATTTTGATTTTTCCAGATTGGCAGTTCAAACTGTATGTTCTTATGGGACTTCTATTTTCCATGGGAAAGTTCAAATGGAAAGCAAAGATGTCTAATTGTTTCTTTTTATACAAGCAATATCAGGGGAGGGCCAATCAATCTTAGGAACTCTTAGTGCCAGGATGAATGCTCGTAACCAACTAGTAGATGGCTAATTGTATTTTTCTTTATTTCACCAGCTCAGTCTTAATTTTAAAATGTTGTGAAGCTCTCATCCTGGATTTATTTTCACACTCAAAATTTTTAATTTATTTTATGTTCTGATGTGAGAATGCAATGGTATTAACTGTTCTTTTCGAAAGTTGAAAAACAAGCAGCTGAACTCATTTGGAAGACTCTACAAAGATGGTAGAATAGTTGCATAATGTGGGTGTTTAAACTCGAATTGTTATATTTGTTAAGAGGAATTAAAATCACTTGACTTTCTTACTTTTTCATCCTAATTATGACTTTGATTGTCGCATTAGCAGTCAGCCATCAACTTTCTCAGTAAATTACTTCAAAGGATCAATTAAATTAAATTCTGTGTGTACTAGTGAAATTCAAAAAGTGCCAAAGACTAAGTTTATAACCCGAAGAAAGTTAAATCATGTCAAACATGTCTGCATTACTTATATTAACTTGACATACTATGCAGGATCCAGTTTGCAGACCACTTTATGATTTAGATGAATTTGCCTTGCAAGATCTTCTTCCTGAAATTCCACTGTGGGTGAAGAACCCTAATTATCATAGAGTTAGTATCGCCTTCCAATCTCCACCGTAGATTTTCAATTATTGTTTCTCTTGCTGTTCCTAAGCTATATCTTTATCCATTTTGTGTTGGTTATAATCACAACTTTGCAGGTAGACTGGTTGAATAAATTTATTGCAGATTTATGGCCTTACCTTGAGAAGGTGATATATATTTTAATTTTTTGTCACTTTTTATTCCTTTTGATTATTGTTATTGTTGTTAGTTTGATATGTGATTTTAACATTATTTATAGGAAATTGCGGGAACAATAAGAAGCGTTGCTCAACCTATATTTGATGAGTACATTGGGAAGTTTCAGATTGAGTCAATTGACTTTGAGAGAATAGATATGGGAACTCTTCCTCCTATTCTTAACGGTGAGTTTATTCACAGCAATATCTAATTCGATTTACTGCATAATTGGCGTGCACAAATAGTTTTCAATTTCATAGATCAGTATTTCGATTCTCTTCTGAATAATTCATTCAGTCTTTGTCACATCGCTGATTACTTAAGTCTCAGTATTAGGCTACATAACTTAATTCCCCCAACAAGAAAGAAAGAAAGTACGATACGTAATACCTGAAATTCAGGAAATTTTGAGCAACGCTTGTGACCTAGAAAACATATTGATGCATAAATGTATACATTATAGTGGAAAAGTTCATTCCTAGTAGCAAACAAACATCGTTTGTTTGTCCTTGTGGTGCTATCATTTATTTTTGTTTACAACATTTCAGGTCTTGAAGTCTTCGAGACGAACGATAATGAATTAATCATGGAACCATCAATTAAATGGGCAGGAAATCCCAACATAATTCTGGTGTTAAAAGTTCTGTCTCTACGAATTACAGTTCAGGTAAGAACGTAAGGAAACATTTCTTGACAGAGGAACAAAGACTTTTTGTAATTTGTTTTCTCAATGTGGATGCATTTGTTCAGAAACTTGACTAAACTTCATTTCAGTTAATAGATATACAAGTATTTTTGGCGCCAAGAATAGCTTTCAAACCGCTCGTGCCTTCCTTTCCGTGCTTTGCTAACATTGTGGTGTCTTTGATGGAGAAGGTGAGCAGAAGGCACCAATTGATGCGTATTTTTTTTCGTGCCTTAAAAGGTTGGATATATAAGATCTGTTTTGTATGCTGAATTTCTCTCAACTATCTGCAGCCTCATGTAGATTTTGGAATGAAAATATTGGGAGCCGATATCATGTCCATACCCGGCCTCTATCGTTTTGTTCAGGTGCTACACTGGTAATACTTTCGTGTTGAAGTTGGGATTTTATCTAATTGTCTGACATTTGAATGGTTGGTTGGATTTGAATCAATTATGTGATATAATTTCCTGCAGGAGACTATTAAAAAGCAAGTTGCAAGCCTCTACCTCTGGCCTCGGACTCTTGAAATACCTATCCTTGATGTTTCAACGTAAGTTGATCTGAGATGATACAGCTTTCTGCTTTGGTCACCTTCTCTGAATTTTATGAATTTTTCATTTATACAGAGTGGCTGTAAAGAAGCCGGTCGGAATACTACACGTGAATGTTGTTCACGCGGTTAAACTCTTGAAGAAGGATATCATAGGATCATCCGATCCTTATGTCAAGCTCAGCCTGACTGGAGATGGGTTGCCAGCAAAGAAAACAACTATCAAGAAGAAAAACCTGAACCCCGAGTGGAACGAGAAGTTCAAGCTTCTTGTGAAGGATCCCAAGACCCAACTTCTTCGGTTACAAGTCTTTGACTGGGACAAGGTATCCTCTCTTACCCCCTTTACTTCTTTCAAAATACCAGATCAATGGAAGCAAAAAAACCGTGTAGTTATGTTTTAGATGGCTGTTTCTGATCATTCTAGTTTGCTCTTCCTGCAGGTTGGTGGGCATGATAGGATAGGAATGCAGTTAGTTCCTCTCAAGCAACTTACACCCCATGTGTTGCAAGAGTTTAAACTTGATTTGCTCAAGGACACGAATATTAGCAATTGTACAAACAAGAAGCAAAGAGGGCAGCTTGTGGTGGAACTAACTTTTGTGCCTTTCAAAGAAGACATAAGCAGGTTTAGTGGTGGATTTAGCGGACCTATTGATTCAGCACATAGGAGAAACGAAAGCGGAATCGACATGTCAATGTCATCAGATGAGGGAACCCTAGGTGGAGCAGGTTTACTATCGGTTATTATTCAAGGAGCCGAGAATGTGGAAGGGAAGTCCCACAACAATCCTTATGCCATCCTCCTATTTAGAGGAGAACAGAAGAAAACACATGTAAGTTTTGGTTTTAGTATGGTTAGCAGCAACGTAATAATCCCTCTGGTAACATATGATACAATTTGGCTTCTTCAGATGCTTCGGAAAACTCGTGATCCCCGATGGAGCAAGGAATTCCCTTTCATGCTAGATGAGCCACCTTTGAGTGAGAAAGTTCATATTGAGGTTGTGAGTAAGAGGACCGGCATTAGTTTCCGTAGGAAGGTGTGAACTAGTTCAACCATTTATACTTCCATTTACACAATTAGTATCAGTAAACAAGTAATCTCTGCACGTAATTGACAACATTTTAACTTATGATTTTCTTTCAACTGTTATGCGTAGGAATCTTTGGGATATGTAGAAATCAATCTACGAGACGTTGTGCACAACGGTCGGATCAACCAGAAATACCACTTAATCAATTCAAAGAATGGAGTGATACAGGTTGAGATTAGCTGGAAGATCATTTGAGGAATGGAGAATGCAAAGCTCAGAAATAGAGAGGGAAGGTGGACTTGCCTAGCTCATACTAGAGCTGAAGCTGTGAATTTATAACAGTGTTAATATACAAAAATTGTAGTAAAAAATATACAAAAATTGTATACGAATTCAAAAATAATTTAAGTTCATTTTTGGTTAATGTGATTTTAATTGTCTCAATTTTGGATCTTGTAGTTTAGCAAACGATGCAATTCAAGAACATGTTGCATTTTCATCCATTTAGTACGTGAAGGGAAAAAAACAACGTGCTTCTCAAATGCATGGGCATTTTAGTAACTTTCACAAATTGTATTGAGTGTGTTAACCATCTTCGACTTCAGTACATACTACATTACGATAAAAGAAACTTATTCATACGCTACACCATCATTTAAGAAAAAAAAATGAAGAAAAAGCTCCAGAAAAACAGAGAAAAACCAGAGACGTATACGTATTCAACTTTCATTTAGATTTCAATGTTAGGTTTTCCGGATATAACAGTACAAAGTCTTTCAAAAATTGATTTTTTTTTTTCTTATAAGAAAGCCATGAAAGTTCCTTACCGAGAAAACTCACTTTTTGCATCCCCAATGTCATCTATATATGAGAGGTCCGAGAAAGAGGCTCTATTTGTATTTTTTTATGATACTTAAACAGGCGGTAGCTCTGCAGAGATCTTTTTGGATGAGAAAAAACAATTCATTCTACTAAAAAGGAATAACCAGAGGAACAATTGGCTATAGCTATACCTCTCCCGATTAACAAAGCATGAGGAAGGGGCAAAGTAACTCAACTAGAGCAAGGGGCTGCGCAGTTCATGCTGTTGGAATTTAGGATTATTTTATTGTTTGAATTTGAACTTAACCCGTTAGTATTAGGGTTTTGTTTTTTGGCTTATTAGGGTTAGGTTAGTTCTCTATATATATGATGCTTTGTAGCTCGTAGAAACAAGTAATTTACAATGTAGTCTCTTAGGGTTTTGTAGCCATTTCGGCACTCTCAGTTAATTTAATAATATTCTTATTATTTTGTTAGTCTTGTTCGTTCTACACTTTGATATTCAACTTGGTATCAGAGTAGGTTTGATCCTTCGGGATTTAATCTGTTCTTGATAAGTATCCATGCTGTTTGTTTGATATTAGTTTTCAGTATTCGTTTTGAAAAGAAAAAAAATTTTGAATGTTTGCTTGGAACCACTCCCAGATCCCTACATACCCAAAGCCCTGAACCGTACCTGCCATCATTTCCTCATCAGATCACCACCACGCTACCATTGCAACCACCCGCTGCAAATCCGACTAAATCTGCACCTCGCCTGCTTGAACCATCGCGCTACAATCTTCTCGAACCCACTGCTGCATTCTCTATCTTTTGCATCCACCGCCGCTGCACCTCCTGTTGTCCACCGATGTGCTTGTTCTGATTCCCTTCCCAACGATCTGATCACTGACACCGTGATTAGATGAATTCATCACCATCCACCCATGTTGCCGCTGCAATCAAGAACTCTGCTGATCCGTATTCATACCATCACCCATATTCGACTGATCCAGGATTACATGCCCGCTGCTCACCGCATCTGCTTGTTGGCAAACGTGTGACATGTACCACTATGAGTTTGATAGGGGGTGTTGGAATTTAGGATTATTTTATTATTTGAATTTGGGCTTAGCCCGTTAGTATTAGGGTTTCGTTTCTTACTTATTAGGGTTAGGTTAGTTCTCTATATATATGATGCTTTGTAGCTCGTAGAAACAAGTTATTCACAATGTAGTCTCTTAGGGTGCGTTTGTTGCGCCGGACTGTCTCGGACTGGACTAGCTGCCGGGACTAAGCTGGACTGGCTTAGACTGGACTAAGCTGGACTAACTTAGTGAAGCGTTTGGTGCAGTCTCGGACTAAGAAGCAGGATAAGAAAAACAGTACTGTTCACCAGATTTGTGTTTGCTTAGACTAGGACTACAAATTTTTGTCATTGTGTAATAGAGTAATGCTACAAATCTCATGATATGGGTTAATTGGAGCATATTTTTGCCATGTATATTATGAATCTTAAAAAAAATTGACAATTGTTTTGTTTCTATTACCTGCTAATAGAATTGGGTTTAATTTGCAAATGTAGCTTGATTTAAACTCTATCACCCAACAGAAGAAAAATAATAGTGGCCAATACATGCAACTTCAACAAATACAAGTACATAAGATCTCCATAATTTAGAAAATCCTAGTTAACATTAGTTAACATTAGCCAAAATAGATCTCCATAATTTACAAAATGGCTAGTTAAACATAAGCCAAAATACTAGTGCAAAGCTAAGTTATAAGTCATAACATAAGACTGTATGATTAATAAAATACATCCATGTTAACGTTAATAAAAATACATCCATGTTAACATTAGCCAAAATCCTCATCCGCTTGCGTTGTCTCTTAAAAGTCTTTGGACGAACACTTTCTTGAGTTCCGGTTTGATTGCCCTGAACACTCCCACATTTTTTGGTTTATCCAAAATAAGAGACAATGCATCAATTTGATCCATAGGAGAGAGACCCATTGCTTCAAGTTCATTAGCTATGTCAGTATGATCTGCAGTACCTTGAACTAAAGCTTCAGTTACCATTTGCATCCTCTTCCCACTTTCAACATAAAAATCTTTCAGTCCACTGATAATTGCCTCGGTTCCATCACTTGAACTTCCCACAGCTCTTTTCCTCTTTCTTTGGCTATTTTCAGATGGGGTGCTTTGTTGGCTTTGTTGGTTCATTGAAGAAACAAAATTATCACCTCCAATATCACTTTCACCAACATGATCATGACTTTGTTCCTCCACCATTTGAGCAGGGGTTTCGGCTACATTACCCGTAGCCCGATCTTTTCCAAATATATATGCAAATCTATCAAACAGTGGAAAAGGTTTGCTTCTCCATCCATCGGCTTCTTTATTTCTCTAAGATTATATCAACATAGCAAAACTAAAATTTAGCATGCGTAACAAATATAGGAGCAAGAATATAACTAATGCATAAATAAAATAGGATATGAACCTGCACATAAGTTTGCCATGCGTCATCACTGTCAACTTCAACGCACTTTTTGACATCATTCCATGCAAATCCACTTGTGTTTATCATGTCAACGACCATACTATATGTTTTTTTCCATTTCTTCAACTTGGACTCAATATGTGGATTTGCCTTTATATTTGAATGAGGACATAAAACATTGACAGCTTTTGCTATTTCAACCAAAGTACCTTGTTTGAAAGCACCGGTGTCACACCGTTGCTTCCGAGCAACAAAATCCTCAAGAACTCCTAGTAATACTTCTTCCTCAAATGCTTCCCATTTACGCCTTCTTCCTTTTGGCTCTTGAGTAGCATTCAAAAATATTTCGTTATCCATACCTAAACAAAAAATATTTTAATGAAGGAAAATACCATACAAATAATCAATTTGCATAATATCCAATCAACTTGCATAATATCCAATCAACTTGCATAATATCCAATTAATTTGCATACCATCCAATCATTGTGCTAATATCTAACAAATGCATGATAAAAAAGGAATACTAAAATAAAATGTTATCATTAAAACATATAGCTAGTTCGGTTGCTGGTTCCTAATTGCTCTCCACTCATTATACATTTCCTCAGCCATATCATTCCTCATTGCAGTCCACTGGTCCGATGATTGAACACTACCAACATATTCACCTTCTTCTGTATTTTGTCCATCTTCTATTATTGGCAAATTCTCCATTGGATCTACTGACATCTCTTGCCTAATAAGATTTGTGTAGTAGGCAACAAGCGGTAATTATTCGACCTTGTGTCCTTATCGGATAGAAAGATGGACTCCTTAGTATCGACCACCTTCCTTTTAGCAAGCCAAAACAGCGTTCAATTACATTCCTTGCCTTAGAATGCTTCATGTTAAAATATTCTTCCTTATTAGAAGGTGTTCGTCCCTCCCATTCAGATAAATGATAAGGTATTCCTCTATAGGGTGCAAGGAATCCTTCACCATTTGTATAACCACCATCTACAAGGTAATAACAACCTAATGAAAAAAAAAAAACAGACCTTATTAGTGTTTTGTAGTTGACAAACAGAACTAAACCTAACTTAGAAAGTTGAGACTAAGTAATAGTCTTACCCGCTGGTACCTTAAAACCATTAGGCCTACTAATTGCATCATGTAGCACTCTAGAGTCTGATGCGGAACCCTCCCACCCCGGAAACACATATATATGAACTGCATATCTCCTGAACACACACCTAACACATTAGTTGCGACTCGACCCTTTCTTGTTCGGTATCTTGGTTTGTCAATTTCAGGTACATGCACATCAATGTGTGTTCCATCCAATGCTCCCAAGCAATTCTTAAAAATAAAAAATAAAAAACTTTTTGTTAATTTATACAAAGGGAATGAAGAGTTAAAGCTTAAGGAAAATGAAAAATATTTCTCATCATACCTTAAAACATCGCCACCTAGCATCTGTAGAATCAATAGGCACAGGCTGTGGGACTTTTAGTAGGAAACCTTGTAATCGCAAAATTCCTTGCAATACGCTATTGAAATACCTACTTATAGTCTCTCCCGACCTATAAAATCTACCGCCAACACTACGATTCTTAGTATGATGTGCTAATATTTGTAAAGTCATACACACCTGTTCCTCTACAGACACCAAACCATCAGTTTTTTACCCTCCCATCTTGACGAAGTAAGTCGCATAATATGCCAAAAAGTCCTTCTATCCATTCTCAATTCGTTAACACATTCAGTATCAGTATTCCCTATTATACCATTCAGATAACACAAACTAATCTCTCGTCTAATAAGTGAACGGTTAGTCAATGTGGGTCGTTCAACATGTCTCTGTTTGCCACGTAGCATCATCACCACAAGAATCGTACAAATACAAATTGTTTCCAAATAAGACATCTCTAACAATAAGATCAATAAAAGCTTCCTTCGATCCATATCTATCCAAACAAAAACAAAAAACAAAAAACAAATTAACTAAATCATTAACCCGAGGCAACAAATATACATATGGCGTTGAAAAAAAAAAGTTTTCATTAACCCGAGGCATCATATTCAAAATGTTCTACTCTTATACATCTATAAACATTTGTCTAAGAACACTAGTATGAGGATTGCTATCATTGCTAGGCATTGCATGTGAAAAGGGAAATTAAAGGACACCTGTAATGCAGTAGCCTTAGCCTTAGCCTTCCGTTTATGCTCCTCTTCTCTGCAACCAACAACCACAACAAATTGCAATTCAGCATCAACCCCACACAATACAAAACATTCACATTGTATACACAGTACATACATACACACTGCAAAACACAGTACATACATACACTGCATACACTACACACACACTGCATACATACACACTGCAAACACAGTACATACATACACACACTACATACACTGCATACACTACACACACTACATACACTACACACACACACTGCATACACTACACACACACCCTGCAAGTACACACACAGTGCATACATACATACACACACTGCATACACCCTGCATACACACACACTGCATACACAGTACACAAACACACACACTGTATACACATTGCACACACAGTACACAAACACACACACACTACATACACTACACTTACACACACACTGCATACACTACACACACACCCTGCATACACACTGCACACACACACACTCACACTCACACACTGCACACACACACACACACTACATACACTACACTTACACACACACACTGCATACACTACACACACACCCTGCATACACACTGCACACACACACACAAACTGCATACACACTCACACACACACTGCACACACACACGCACACACTGCATACACACACACACACTGCACACACACTCACACACTGAACACAGTCACACACACACACACACTGGACACACACATACACACACTGCATATATACACACACACACAAACTGCACACACACACTGCATACACACACAAATTGCACACACACACAAACTGCACACACACACACTGCATACACACACAAACTGCACACACACACAAACTGCACACACACACACACTACATACACACACACACTGCACACACACTCACACTCACACACACTCACACTCACACACACTCACACTCACACACTGAACACAGTGACACACACACACACACGGGGACAGAGTGCAACACACTCTTACCCTCACACACACACTCTGTTTTTATACTCACACACACACACTGCATACATACTTGCATACACACACACTGCACACACACACACACACTGCACACACACACACTGCACACACACACACACACTGCATACATACTGCATACATACACACACACACACACTGCGCACACACACACACACTGCACACACTGCATAGACACACACACATTGCACACACTGCATAGACACACACACACTGCATACACACTCACACACACACTGCACACACACACACAAACTGCATACACACTCACACACACACTGCACACACACACACACACACACACACTGCATACACACACACTGCACACACACTCACACACACTCACACTCACACTCACACTCACACACAAACACACACACACTCACACTCACACACACAAACACACACACACACACTGCACACTTACACTTACACTCACACTCACACTCACACTCACACTCACACTTACACACACACTGCATACATACTGCATACATACACACACACACTGCATACATACTACATACATACACACACACACACAAACTGCACACACACACACTGCATACACACACACACACTGCACACACACTCACACTCACACACTGAACACAGTCACACACACACACACACACTGGACACACACATACACACACACACAAACTGCACACACACACTGCATACACACACAAATTTCACACACACACAAACTGCACACACACACACACTGCATACACACACAAACTGCACACACACACAAACTGCACACACACACACACACTACATACACACACACACTGCACACACACACTCACACTCACACACACTCACACTCACACACTGAACACAGTGACACACACACACACACGGGGACAGAGTGCAACACACTCTTACCCTCACACACACACTCTGTTTTTATACTCACACACACACACTGCATACATACTTGCATACACACACACTGCACACACACACACACACTGCACACACACACACACTGCATACATACTGCATACATACACACACACACACACACTGCGCCCACACACACACACTGCACACATTGCATAGACACACACACACTGCACACACTGCATAGACACACACACACTGCATACACACTCACACACACACTGCACACACACACACACAAACTGCATACACACTCACACACACACTGCACACACACACACACACTGCATACACACACACACTGCACACACACTCACACTCACACACACTCACACTTACACTTACACTCACACTCACACTTACACTCACACTCACACACAACACACACACACACACAAACACTTACACTCACACTCACACTCACACACACATTTTACACACACAACTCACACACATACACACAAAAACAGATTACACACACACACGGACATATTACACACACATTTTACACACACAACTCACACACACACACTGCAAATAACACAGGTTACACACACACACACGGATAGATTACACACACATTTTACACACACAACTCACACACACACAGATATTACACAGGTTACACAGATTACATACACACACACACACAAACACACTCACACACACACAAACACACAGACAAATTTTTTTCGGTACACACAAACACACACACAGAGAGCACACACCTGAGACTAATCTCAATTTCATCTTATGAAAACCCCAAATTCTAATCTCAATTTCACCTAAATAACAAAACCCTAATTTGTTCAATTGCAAATCCACTTGTATATTATGAATTTCTCAAACCCAAAACAACAAAATCAAATAAACCTCAGTTAATATCACAAACAAATCCACACAAATCGACGAAAAAAAATCCAAGATTCGAAGCTTACCGACTAGAGGCAGATGACAGCGACCAGATGCAAGGACGACGATGAGCGTGAGGACGATGTGGGAGCACGGCAAGGACGACGACGAGGGCAGACGCAGAGATGAGGACGATGTGGGATGTGAGATGTGGGAAGACGCGGTTTCTCTGGCTTACGAGTCCGCCCGAATTTGGGATCCCTCGTGAAGAACGGCTAAGCCCCCCCTTAGTCCTAGCGAATCCCACCTAAGCTCATTAAAGCTAATCCCGGTACCCACCAAACACTGGACTATAGTCTAGTCCAGTCCAGTCCCAGCGAATCCTGTCAAACAAACGTGCCCTTAGGGATTATGTTTCCTAGTTTCTCTTAATTTATTTTATTTATTAGTCTTATTCTCAAAACTTTTCTAAAAAAGGATTTATAATGTAGTAGTATAAATAAAACCTTTGGTCGTCCCTAGTTTTCTTCTTCTGGATGCGATTTGTTAGAGAGGAATTCGGCCACAACTTAGAGATTTCAGACTTTTACATCCAAGGTGTTTTCAATCTTTTTTTTTTCAATAGAAATTCATTTGATTTTAATTATTAATATCAATATGCATAACTAATCTCGGGCTCATTTGGATGTGCTTTTGAAATGACTAAAAACGCTTTTAGCAAAAATGTTTTTGGGTTCCAAAAACACTTAAAGTGCTTTCTGCAAGAAACATCAATTATGTGCTTCTTCCAGGAAGCACTTTAAGTGTTTTTTTTCAGGATTTCCTTGCATTTTTACTAAAGATTGGTTCTAAAAACATTTTCACCAAAAGCACTTTCAATCATTTTAAATACATTCAAACAAGCTCCTCTTTTGCTAGGGTGAGGCCACAAACTATTTTATTTTCCTTCTATTTAATATTACAGATTTTTTTCAATTTTTTTAATTAAATTCGTTTTTATTAAATTAGGTCATAAATCAATCCTTTCAAAACTTTGTTTTTAAATAATTAATTGAGATTTGGTCTAATACGAATTGTTTTAATAATCATTGTGGAGAACGATAACATGTTTCTTTTGCAATTATTTTAGGTGTTTTTAACCATTTTTATGCATGTGGTAAAAATACTATCAACTATAATAAGACAAGCTTATTCATCAACGCTATCCTTTAAGGAAAAAATGGAAGAAGCTTTAGAAAAAGAGAAGAAAAAAATCAAAGTCGTATTCAACTTTCATTTCAAATTTCAGTGTTAGATTTTCCCGCATGCAATATAATAGTACAAAGTCTTCCAAATTTTGAACCTTGTTTCCTTCCTACATATTAATAATCTTGATTTTTTTTTTAAATTAATATTCTTGATTATCTTTAGTGCGCAATGAGCATTGACAAAATAACCGCAAAGTGTTGAGTTTATTTCTTGGTTGTAGAAGCGCTTTTGTGCGTTTGGAGTTTCCTGTAAAGCACGGCAATGAGAAGGAGCATCTACAAAGTTGGTTTGTCCAAAAGAATTTCTAATTAAAATTAAAAAAAAAAGCACGGATAAATCAAAGGTGCATATATTTTATTGTTCATTAGCAGTATCCTAGGTATCTCTCCCAACCTAAAAGATTCCTTCAGTTTGTACTCACAGGCATATTCTATTAATTTTTCTTACTAACCAAATTTAATAATTTTTTTGTTGGCAATGGAGGCATAGCCCCCCCCCCCCCCCCACCAAAAAAAAATTACAGAGGATTATAACAAAGTTACGAAATTTGAACTATATCTACAATTAGTAATCGGCAACAAAAAAAAAAAGCTTATTAAAAAAAAAATGAACCCAAACTACTTGACAAATCTTTCACAATAAATATGTCAAATTTACAAAACTAACTTTAATACATAAGAGCACGATAGTTTAATATTTTGCCAACCCATCAAGCAATACTGTAAGCATAACACATTAAAAATATTATTATTTTTTGTTGGATATGTAATATTCGAACACTTGGAAAGAAGCTTCAAGTATTAAAGTTTTATATTTTGTATCCTCGAAGACAATGTCATTGTGTTATATTATTATTTAGCTGAAAAATCTAATGGAAAACACCTTGACTAGTCCTACCTTTTTTTTGTTTGTTGATTTTTCTTGGTGTTGTATGTATTCACTTATTATATCAATTTTTTTGTTTTCACGATAGATAGGAATCTAGGTTAGTGGTACTTAATCCCTTGTATTTCGAAGTAGAGCAAATTACAAAGTGAGATCCACATTGGATCTTTGTGTTCGGAGCATGTGGGTCTAGAGATTCGGACCACTTAATTTTTTTTTGTTAAAAGATATGTAATATTCAAACACTTACAAAGGAGCTCCAAATATTAAAGTTTTAAATTTGGTATCCTCGCAGACATATCAAGCTTTTTTTGTTTTACTATTATTTAGTTGAAAAACCTAATGGAAAACACCTTGTCTAGTCCTACCTTTTTTTTTTGTTGGTTTTTCTTGGTGTGTATGTATTCACTTATGATATCAATTTTTATTTTCCTGAAAGATAGAAATCACAGGTTTAGTTGTACTTAATCCATTGCATTTCAAAGTAAAGCAAATTACAGATTGAGATCCCAATTTGGATCTTTGTGTCCGGAGTTTGCGGACCGAATGATCTAGACCATTCAATTTGTTGTTGTTGAAAGATATGTAATATTCGAACACTTAGAAAGAAGCTCCAAACATTAAAGTTCTATGTTTTGTATCCTTGCAGATAGATCAAGCCTTTCGTGTTTTATTATAATTTATTTGAAAAACCGAATAAAAATACCTTGTCTAGTCCTAATTTTTTGTGATTTTGTATGTATTCACTTATGATATCAATTTTTAATTTCCCGAAAGATAGAAAATATAGGTTAGTTGTACTTAATCCCTTGCATTTCGAAGTATAGCAAATTACAATATGCTCCAAAAACACTTGTATTTAGTTGTTTTGATATCCTAAATAATACATACCTGTTCTATCATTTTATGAAATATATTTTTGTCTATTTCTCTTTGAAGTATGAACAATATCCTTTTAAGTTATTAAGAAACCAGACATTATTATTACAACAAAAGTTGGGTCTATTTTCCGGCCACAAGCTTCAATAAAATAGAATAAGATTTATTCTGATTTTTTGTGTTAGGAGCTTGCAAAGCTAGAAATTTATATTGTTCAAGAGAGAGAAAGAGAACCCAGTCGTTCAAAATTTTGAGTTTTTGTTGTCACATCTCGGGCCGGGCTCCCACCACATTCCGGGCTCGACTCCACCGTAGCATGATATTGTTCGCTTTGGGCCCCGACCACGCCCTCACGGTTTTGTTTCTGGGAACTCACACGAGAACTTCTCAGTGGGTCACCCATCTTGAAATTGCTCTTGCGCGAACTTGCTTAACTTCGGAGTTCCTATCGAACCCAAAATTAGTGAACTCCCAAAAGGTCTTGTGTTAGGTAGATATGAGAATATACATATAAGGCTTACAAGATTCTTATCCTTGGGCGATGTGAGATTTTACAATCCACCCCTCTTAGGGCCCCGACGTCCTCGTCGGCACACTTCCGGTTAGGGATTGGCTCTGATACCAAATTGTCACATCCGGCCTGGGCCCCCACCATATTCCGGGCTCGACTCCACCGTAGCACGATATTATCCGCTTTGGGCCCCGACCAGACTCTCACGGTTTTGTTTTTGTTAACTCACATGAGAACTTCCCAATAGGTCACCCATCCTGAGATTGCTTTCGCGCGAACTCGCTTAACTTCGGAGTTCTTATAGAACCTGAAGCCAATGAGCTCCTAAAAACCCTCGTGCTAGCTAGAAATGAGAATATACATATAAGGCTTACATGATCCTCACCCCTGGACAATGTGAGATCTTACAATCCACCCCTCTTAGGGGTTCGATGTCCTCGTTGGCACACTTTTGGCCATGGATTGACTCTGATACCAAATTGTCACATCCCAATCCGGGCGCCCACCACATCTCATGCTTGACTCCACCGTAACACTATATTGTCCGCTTTGGGCCCTGACCATGCCCCTCACAATTTTGTTTCTAGGAACTCACACGAGAATTTCCCAGTGGGTCACCCATCCTGGGATTGCTCTCACGTGAACTTGCTTAACTTCGAAGTTCCTATGGAACCCGAAGTCAGTGAGCTCCCAAAAGGCCTCGTGCTAGGTAGAAATGGGAATATACATATAAGGCTTACATGATTCTCACTCCTAGGCGATGTGAAATCTTACATTTGTGAACTGGAGTAGTGAAATGGACAAATTAAAACTATAAAATTAAAACTGAATGATTTGGGAATATATTCCCAAAGTCAGTGAGCTCCTATGGAACCCGAAGTCAGTGAGTTCCCAAAAGGCCTCGTGCTAGGTAGAAATGGGAATATACATATAAGGCTTACATGATCCTCACTCCTAGGCGATGTGAAATCTTACATTTGTGAACTGGAGTAGTGAAATGGACAAATTAAAACTATAAAATTAAAACTGAATGATTTGAATCTCTCAGTCTGTAGACTTCAAACATAGAAATCTAAAGTGAATCTCAATATCATCAAAACGAGGACAAGTTGTTGATAGGTTGATGGAATTACAGATAAGCACAAACAAAGAAAATGTGTTTGCATTATTGTTTATTTCTGATGGGATGTGTTCATAAGTATTTATAACAATGACGAAGCATGCCTGCTAAAAAGATAGCTCTTATTTCATTTTCAGAAGTTGTAACATTTATTACACAAAATGCTAATTTTTCAGAATGGACAAGAAGAAAATCTCCTTTTATTAATTTTTTTCTGTCAAAAAAGCACTTTTTATTGTTAAAGAAGAATGAAATTTTTTTTTTTGATAAATTATCAATGAGTTAAATTGTTAGTTATCAGAAGACAGGAATTAGTAGGGATCAAACCCCACATCAGGATGATAGACATAATTACTTTTCATTACTACGATAAAGCGATGCGAAGAATCAAATTTAATTAATATCCAAGAGAATTAAATTTATTATTGTAAATAAAATGCTTAAATGGATTAAAATCTCGATAATTATTGCAAGATCCCTGATTTATTGTAAATGTAATATACATAGGAACATATTACTCTAAGTAAAAGATGCATTTATTCACAGGAAAACTAATGAAAAGGGCTTGAAAACTTTGAGTTTTAATGATAAGGACAAAATAAAGGGTAAAGTGAATAGTACCAGGATTAATTTTTTAGTGTAAAAATGTGGCTTTTCGTTAAAGTGAACAGTACCAGGTGCTTTTCGTTAAAGTTCCCTTTATTCACACATAATTAGTTGTCTTATTTTTTGCGTGGGTTTGAACATCGTTGGCTCCTAATCTAACATCTAATCTAGTCAAATCTATTGTTTGATAAAAATTAAAAATTAAAAAAAATTAAAAAGGAATTATTGAATTTGTAGACAAATTATGAATTGGCCAGTGTGGGCAAAAATGTCATTTCAACACTGAGAGAACGTAAAGCAAAGCAAAAACATGTTTAAGTCAGGACTTACACGTAGTGACCACTGAGAGGCGCTGATGATCAGCCAAATGGCCGTTTCCTTCGAGGCAAATCAAAGAAACAAAACAAATTCAGAGTTTCAAACGTTGAAGAAGCAGAAGAAACTGTTTCAGTACCTACCCTCCCAAGTTAATTCTCAACTTCAAAAACAACCGATCGCCTTTAAATCTTATTGTAAATTAAAATTGAGTTTATTGCTCTTCTTTTTGTTCTGCGTCTTCTTGGAAGTAGCAGAGAAGAAAAATGGGAATTTTAAGCACCTTCTTTGGAATTGTCGGCTTTGGCATTGGAAGTCTGGTGGGACTCTTGGTGGGTTTCTATCTCTTCATCTATTCAGAGCCTGAGGAAGTGAAGGTACAATCTTTCATTATTTGAAGCTTTTGATTTCTGGGTTTTTGAGATGGTGCAAGAATCTTTCAGTGGAAAAAGTCCTCGTGGTTTTTTTGTTGTTCATGGTGTTTGCTTAATTAATGGGGTATTTTGTGTTCAGAGAGATTTTGGATTAAACAATTGGTTAAACTTGCCAGTCTTGCATGTAGTTGATTGCATTCAATATCACCTGCGTCTCATATGAATTTCTGAATTTCAGAAGAAACAGGGAATCCGCAAATTCCAGTTTTTAAGTTATTTTTGAATTTTGAGCTTTATGGCTTCAATTAGTTGAGAGAAAAGTTTATGCTGATTCAAAAGCAAAGTAATTGGTTTTCCTTTTACCCTTCTGTTTCTTGACTGCAATCAATATGCCGGCTGCATTCGGTTGCCCCTGAATCTCTTGTTAGGAATCACGTGAAGTTTTCATCTTTCATGTCACTAATTAAATTAATTTCACCTCCCCTGCTTTCCCCTCTTGAGTCTATAAACATCAAACACTGCTAAACAAAAGTACCGTGAAGTGTTACGTACGTATAGTGCTCAACCTACTTAATGTTGCAGGATCCAGTTATCAGGCCGCTGCATGAATTAGATTCTAGCACTTTGCAAGGTCTTCTACCTGAAATACCAATGTGGGTTAAATTTTCCGATTTTGAACGAGTTAGTATCTCCTCTTAATCTTATTACAATGAGCTTTTGCCCTTTCTTTCTCTTGTTGCTGCTAACTCTTCACCTCTATGTTCGTTATATGCATCCTGTGCAGGTAGACTGGCTAAACAAGTTTCTCTTGGACATTTGGCATTACCTTGACAAGGTGATAATCTAGTTAACAGTTCTTTTTTTTTTTTTTTTTTTTTACACTGCTTTTTGAGACTCGGTTTATTTATTGCGCAGGCGCTTTGTTGTACAATAAGAAACACGGCAGAACCTATCTTCGCAGAGTACATTGGGAAGTATCGCATTGAGGCAATTGAATTTGACAAGTTAAGTCTTGGAAGTCTGCCACCCATAATCTATGGTTAGTCTACTCACTTTCATATCCTAATCATGAATACTTGTTACTTTTCGAGAACAAAAGGCATTTTGGTTGCCTTATATAGCACTTATTAATCCTCTTAGTTAAATTTTAAATGCAATGAATCTTCAGAAGTTTAGGGCACCACTTTCATCGATGGCATTACATATACAAATCATGGATAAAATTCAAAAAGAATTTTCGTTTATGCATTAATCCTTCTGGATTTACTACTAAATAATTTGGTTTTTTTTTTAATCTTTCAGGTCTAAAAGTTTATGAGACTAATGAGAATGAATTAATCATAGAACCGGCATTTAGATGGGCTGGCAATCCCAACATAGTTGTGGTTTTAAATTTGTTGTCTCTAAGAATTACGGTTCAGGTAAAAGAAATCCTTCAAGAGAAGAACTGTTCATTTTTATTATGATATGCTTGATTCATTCTGTTCAGAATACTGATTGTTGTTATTATCAGTTAGTGGATTTGCAAGTATTTGCAGCACCACGGGTTACTCTGAAACCTCTTGTGCCGACGTTTCCATGTTTTGCAAGCATTGTCGTGTCTTTATTGGAGAAGGTCCGATAAGAGCAAACTTTTCTTTTCATCTTTTTCCCTTTTTATTTTAGATTGCATATTTCTTGACTGGTTTAGATAGCCTACGTTTAAACAATGATTTTCTCCCATTATCTGCAGCCACATGTTGATTTTGGAATCAAAATATTGGGTGGGGACATCATGGCCATACCAGGCCTCTATCGGTTTGTTCAGGTGCTTCACCAGTAATCCTTTTCTGGGTAGGATTGTGATTATACATTAGCTGAGTTTTGGATAGCTGTTTAGATGATTTATGTTTGCTCAGATGTTGGTTTGATTTGCTTTAACTAACCGTCTACGTGTTTGCAGGAGACCATTAAAAACCAAGTTGCAAGCCTCTACCTATGGCCTCGAACACTGGAAATACCTGTTCTTGATGCTTCAATGTGAGTATTTATGAGATGGCATGGCTGGCCTTGACACATCTAGCTCAGTCTTTCACCTTAAATTTTTTTAGTTCTATATATTATTTTACTTATATCTATTTTAATCCATGAATCAATCATCTTGAACAAGGCTTCGCAGACATGGAGCCATCACAAGATGACCGGAATGGATTTACTTCTATCAATGATCTATCAAATATACTTTTTGTTTCACAAAAATGATATTCCTTTAAATCTTTTAACAGAGTGGCCAAGAAGCCTGTAGGGATACTTCATGTGAAGGTCGTCCGAGCACTGAAACTTTTGAAGATGGACATCTTGGGAAGTTCCGATCCTTACGTCAAACTAAACCTTACTGAAGATAAGTTGCCCGCAAAGCAAACCACTGTCAAGATGAATAAGTTGAATCCTGAGTGGAATGAGAAGTTCAGACTTATTGTGAAAGACCCCCAAACTCAAGCTCTCGAGTTGCAACTCTATGATTGGGACAAGGTTTTCCCCTCGCATTTTCTTTTGGCTCAAATACTACATAATAATATTCTGATATTTCATCCATTTGATTTTGTTATTTTCTGCAATAATGCGAACCCTTGTTAGCATTGACCTCTGCTGATGTAGCCGTATGTCCTTTTAGAAAAGGGATGTCTTGTTCATATGTCAGTATAGGTTCTCAAGCCCTTTCGGTCTCAAGCGTGTGTGTTTGAAAGCATATTCATGGAACAATAATTTGGAATATCATCAGAGTTAGTTATACTTGTTCTTGCAAAGTTGGTCTTTATTAAGCTTCTACCAATTTCTACTGAATAAGAGAAAAATCATTATCTTTTCTCTATTAGTCATTAGTACTTAAATGGTGTCTCCATAAGTTACTCTTAAATCTGCTCTGAGTCTGAGGTAAGATTTAGACGAAAGATTTTGTTTGTTAATTTCTGAATTTGTGAACGAGGTGCAGTTTCAGTTTTGATCATTTTTTGTGTTGACAGGTTGGCAGACATGACAAATTGGGAATGCAGTTAGTTCCTCTGAAAGTGCTAACGCCCGGTGCGACAAAGGAATTTGTGCTAGATTTGGTCAAGAACACAAATATCAATGATCCTCAAAACAAGAAGCGTAGGGGGCAAGTTATAGTGGAGCTTGCTTTTGTTCCTTTCAAATCAGAAAGCAGTAAGCATAATGGAACTAGTAATGGATATGGGAAAAGCGAAAGTGGAAAGTCATTAGAGAGTGATGAGTCCCTCAGCGGAGCTGGTGTACTATCCATTTTGATCCAGGGAGCTGAGGACGTAGAAGGGGAGCATCACAGCAATCCTTATGCTTTGCTTTGCTTTAGAGGAGAAGTAAAGAAAACTAAGGTGAACTTTCACTTTGATTACTTTCAGCTCCTTTTTAACTTGAACAACATCTTGTGAACGTAGATTTCTTGTGGTTCCAAAACACGGATTTGAAAAATCTCGTAAGCATTCTCATGGTTCCAGTTACCCATTTTCTTTACTTACGGTACTTCTATTTTGTTGGCAGATGATAAGAAAATCCCGCAATCCACTTTGGAATGAAGATTTCCAATTTATGCTTGATGAGCCTCCTTTGCATGACAAGATTCGTATCGAGCTCAAGAGCAAAAGCAGAGCCCTAATCCGAGCAAAGGTATGAAAAATACCATTGTTCCCTTATATTTATAAATGCCATTATCTTCTCCACATGCTTTACAATGCTCAGATTCCTCTGTATCATCTCCTCATGCGTAGGAATCACTAGGATACGTGGAAATTAATCTTGCCGATGTGGTACACAACGGACGCATCAATGAAAAGTTCCATTTGATTGACTCCCACAATGGAAGGATACATGCAGAGCTAAGTTGGACAAAGGCCTGAAAACTTGGGATTAGAAAACAATGCGTTGCAAGTAATCTCACGTCTCGACTGACATTTCCAATTTGTTCCGACCGATGATTACGTGATTAAATGGAAGGAAGAGAAGAGGAGAGGGAGAGAGAGTTTTGAATCTGTACATTGTTTTGATATTTCAATCGTTATAGTAAATAGGGTTTAACATTTCTGTTTTCATCCCAATAATTTTGAAGTAGATTTGGGTGGTTTTGCTTTGGGTTAGAGTGGGCTGGAAGAGTACTCTTTTTAAAATCAAAGTCCAATTTCAATTGTGCTAGCTATACCAGGCTAGTTGCTAAGGGGTTGAGGCTTGGGTTAAACCCTCTGCAAGCTTTAGGCCAGACCAAGTCAAAGTCACATTTTCTATTTTCTTTGGTTTAACCACATCGTGCCTTCTAATTCGAGTTGTGGGATCCACGCGCGTGCGTGACGTAAATTAATATAAGTTTTGTTATTTGGATGGCAGGGAGTGTGGGATAAACGTGGATGACAACACCGATAGATTTTCAAAATGAGAGACCAAACCAATCAGTTTCGAAAAAGTCAGGGATTATATGTGAGAAGAAACCACTTCTATTGATTCTACGATACGAAAAGGACATGTTAACAAATTAAAGGCGAAGAAGAAGAAAAATTGATTATAGAGTCTGATTCTTATATATTAACAAAAATAAATAATAATAATACATATTGGCAAGACGGTTACATAACCAAAATACTACATCTTCTCGAGATTTGATTCTTCTACTAAGTTACAAGATGCATTTATAAAGATTGAATTCTAGACAAACAAGATGCAATGGTAAATTCTTAAGACGTAGGTACTAAAAATACCACAACATAAAAATAAATAAATAAGAAATAAAAATAAAAAAACCAAATTACTAAGCTCTAACTTTTCTAGCAAAACTTCCCTACAATTGGGGCGATAATGAAGGTATTCTAAAGCTAAGCATCTCTTGTCAGTAAGAAAATTAAGACATATCTACTGCATGATAGGTTTAGATTACCGACGCCGAGAATTCACAATAAGTATATATAGCTCAAGTTGAGCATGTAATATGCATGTCTAGTGGCAAACTTTGTATATATTGATGCCTTTTATATATGAGCTATGCAAAATGAAAATACTGTTCTGTAATTTCATAACTGAGACGAAATAAGCCACTTTTTGGAGATGAAATGAAAATATTGATGTTCGAGGCAAAGGTAGATGGTCCCTCGCACAGCTCCTTAAGGGTGAATGACACTTTGGGTGCGGTTGTCGGGCTCTTACGGCTTGGTGTGCTGCAAAGAGAGTTCACAGTTAGTTTGAAAGGTGCATTTGTGGGGCCTTAGATGTAGGCCTTGAGGCCTTAGATGTAGGTCTTGAGGCTCGCAATCAAAACTAACGAAGTGCTAGGCATGCCACTATTAGCTCAGTATAACAAATGTTGAAATAGATGTGCTTTGAGTGATTACTTATGCCCCAAGTTACTTAAACTTCTTTTTGTCAAAGAATTGTCACAGATGGGTTAAGTCTGCATTATATTCTTTTTCTTATCATGTAAACAAGGACCTTTAGTTCATAATGTTGTATGTTCGAAACGAAGAGAGTTCAGAGCTCTTTAGACCATTTCCTCATATCCAGTTTGTTCTTAATGAAAGCATGTTTATTAAGTTAACCATATCTTGATGTAAATGGGACTCTTAGGTGGAAAACAAATGGAAATAACTTTGAATACAAGCTTAAAAGTACATTTAGACGATAAATCTATTAAGCTAAAGTACAAACAAAGGGACTCGAGCAAGATTTCACCTTGTCGAGCAATGTTGAACTTGTTGCAGCCACTTCTCCTTGTGTTTATAGAGGTTGTACTCTAAAAAGGGATGAATGGTAAATAGGTTTTACACAAGGGAATCGATACTACAACACTAGGGAGGGTAGTAGAGCTTTTACACTAGACAGAAGATAGCTTTTCTAAGGACACTAATGCTAAAATGACTGAATCTAGGTTGGTTTTAGCTTTCTGGATGCAAATCTAGCTTGAGAGCAAAGTTTGTATGTTGTTTTTTTTATTGGTTGAGTATCCTTGTCTTTGTTGTCTTTTTCTCCTTTTATAGGCGATTTGGCCCGATTGTCTGGCCTTTATTCTTGGCTGAGGGCTCTCAAGGGCAATGAGTCATCATGTAATATGCCATCAGAAAGTGTTTTTTGGTTGGTAGTGAGCTGGTTTCTATCAGTTGTCACTTCAATCATAGACACATGGCTTATACCCTGGTTGAGAAGGCTTCAGTTTGTCTTTGGGCTTTAATGTTGAGCTTCAGGTAACTTTAATTTGTTTTGGTGCCTTTAGGTTTTTCTTTATGCAAAGCCCAATATTTAAATATTAACCCAAACAGTGCTGTCTTTAATCATTGTTAAGTCTGCAATTCGAGACATTAATAATGATTAAACAGTCGCCGCATGCTTTTACTTGGGACTTGCGCCACTTAATCAGCCATATTCGAATAAACCTTTCCACTAACCCACGATTTCCAATGTTAACTAACTGCTTATTATATAACCTTCACTTAAACCTCTCGGCCAAATACCTTAGCCTAAAAGCACAATTTTTGGGATTCATTTTCAACTTATGGGTTCTCATTCTTGCTAAGGCTAATTTGAGGTCTTCCAAGTGTTGCTCTTCGGTTTTAGATTTCACCACAATGTCATCAACGTACACTTCCATGCTATGACCGATTAAGTCCTGAAAAATGGCATTCTTTGCTCCTTGTTAAGTTTCACCAGCATGTTTTAGCCTGAAGGCATGACTACATATTCATATGCTCCTACATGTCTCGGGCACCTAAAAGTTATCTTATGTATATCTTCTTTAGCCATTTTTATCTGATTATAACCATCATTCATATCCATAAAAGATAGAACTTTGTGTTTTGCAACTGCATTTATGGATAGGTCAGCCATTGGCATGAGATATTCATCTTTGGGCTTGGCTTCATTAATGTTTCTATAGTCAACACAACATCGAACTGCATTAGTTACAGCTTTTAATACGAGTACGATGTTAGCCAACCACTCAACATACTTGGAAGGCCTAATAAATCCAGCTTGTATCAGCCTCTCGATTTCTTTTTTGACATTATCTTCTATCTCATTTGACATCCTTCTGGGAACTTGCTTTACAGGTTTATATCCCTCCTTAATAGGCATTTTGTGTTCTACTAAGGTCGAATCTAAACCTGGCATCTTAGTGTAATGCCAAGCAAAACAATCTTTAAACTCATGCAAAAGGCTTACTATCTTTGCCCAATCACTAGCTTCTAACAAGCCATTGAGTTGTATGGGCCTTAAATCCTTCTCAGTTCCCAAATTAATGGTTTCTAAGGGGTCTTGTACCTCTGATGCTGTCTTATCAGACTCGATGCACAAAAATTCAACTGACTCTAAACTCTCGAGCACATCATCTGGCCAGTCCAAGTCATATTTACACTCAGCTATATTTATGACTGCTTCTAATTCTTCTCCAAAAAACTCTTATTCTTCTCTGTTCTGGTTACTTGAAGCTTCATTTTCCCACTCTGCTTCTTTTTTAGATGAGCTTTCTCTTGCTTCTTTTCTCTCTCTCCCATACACCAACAGTCTTTTGATTAAGGACCTAACCGCAACTACTTGGTCATTCCTTCGTTGTTCTAACATCATTGGTTTTGGGGAATTAGGACAATATGGGGTTTGTCCCATTCCTCCCTAGTGATATACAATCCTTGCTCCAGAAGCTTTTGGGTTGTCATTTTAGTCGGGCGACCGTTATCATCAGCTTATATGCACTGCAAAATCCCAACACTGGGGTTGTAAAAACTGGCTTTAACAACATTGGATGTTGGGAGAAATGGTCGTGACTCGGCATTCACCATTTCCCAAAAACTTGATTCCTCGTCCCTAAACTTGTGGTACACATCAACTTATTGATGTAGAGTGGATGACACAGAAAAACTTTGATGAATCCAATCTTTGCCCAGTAATGCTCCTTAAGTAGAACTATTATCCACCACAAAGAAAGCTAACATAATTTGCTTGGACCCCAAGTTAACCTCTAAAGGTAATATCCCATGTGTTTTAGTAATGGCTCCATAGAAACTGAAAATTGTGAGGTCAATGGGGATAAGGTCATCTTCACTTGTACCCAATCTCTTCATTTGTTTAAATGGAAGGATGTTGACCGCAACACCACCATCAATCAATACCTTTTTGAAATGTACTCATTCCAGATGAGCAATCATATATATGGGTTTAAGATGGTTGGCTATGACCAAACTCAGGCTGCTGAAGACCATTCTATCTGAATATATCTTCTCGGACTCCTTCTTTGTGGGTTAAGGAAAACTTGTCGTACCTGACTCTCATTTCCCAACTTCTTCAACACTAACAAGTACCATCATTGGTTCTGTTGCCAGGTAATCACCTTTCATTGTTGCAGGTTGATCATGTTTGGCGCAAAGCATAGCAGATATAACATAAGTCATATTTACGTGGAAGTTGCTAGGTCCAGATAAATCTTCATTCTTTCTTCCAATTTAACATACGAATTCATCCATTCATACATGCATGTGCATGTTCGGGCAACATTAACTCGGGCACCTTTTCTTCTACTGTTATGTCAAAATTGAGTAATTGTCCTGACATTTGACAAGGTATATCTTTCAGTAGAGGTAGGGGTATCTCCATCTCGGGGGAGATGATCCCAAACATAGAGGTTATGGCCTCCAACTTGGTGTGGGCATCATCACTACACTTTCTTAAGCTCTTCTCAGCACTCTGTATTTTCCTGGATGAGGATTCTGAGGTATATGATCTTCTTCTCCCTCCATCTTACTATTAGATTTCTCTATCTCCTTTTTACTCTTCCATTGGAGTTGTCCTCTTTGCGTAGCTCTTTCAAACTTGACATTTCCAAAGGCTTCTAAAATGGTGGGGATCTTCAATGAGTTCATGTGGGCCTTATGCTGCCTTTGGACCTTCTTGATTATAGATGCTCTAATTTCTCTAACAGGCTTGCCATTCTTCCCAATTATGTACCATTTATGACCCTGTCGGGTTGAATCCTTCTTAGTAACTAAGGAATCGAGTTCCTGGACTTTTCTCTCAATCCTTGCTTTGAATTGCTATGATAACTTGGCTGGGGTGGTCTCACTTCTACCCACTTTGGCATTTTGGCTTCCTTATCCTTAGCTTCTTCAGAGACTTCATAGTTTCTGAATACCTCGGACAAGCCTTTAAGTTGAGAGTCTCCACCCAGCCTCT